AGAAACAGCAGATCTGTAATTCTGCATATATGCTTGTCGCTACACGATTCTTAACTAGGCATATCCTCGGCAATATGAATTGTTCTTCTCCCTTCTACCGAGTATACCACGCAACCGTCATAATCGACCTTGGACCAATCCCTCTTTCTCACAGTGATCTTTTCACCGCCTTTATCTTTAAAATACCACAAGTTTCCTTTCTTTTGAAATTCGGGCGTAACAACTGGCTTTCCTGACGTCCTTAGTTTCGGGTATGACCTTTCTGTCTTCCCACTCTCTCTCGGCTGCTCCTGCTCTACTTCCCTTTCCTTGCCCCCATCGCCCTGCTGCAATTCCTGTTCCTGATCGATATCTCGAAAGTATTTCTCGCCTTGACCATACACGCCGCTGCCGCGATCATAAGATCCTGCTGGGCCTTCAACGCCTATGCGTTGTGTGTGAGACATTCTCGGTTGTGTCTCATCTATGCGTTCCTGCTCCTGATGATCCTGTCTTTCGTCATCCTGCATCAGCAAGTTGGGTTGGCCGCCGACGTCATGGTCCTCGTCCTGCACCACATCCTCGCCACCGGCGAAGACCTTGTCTGGGTTCTCCTCACTGTCTTTCGGGCCAATATGCGCTTTGATGAATCTGAACTATTATGCCGATATTGTCCGTCTGGTGCTTTCCACCAAGTATTGAGCTTTGAATATTTGTCAAGTATCTCACTCGCTCCGTAACCTGCCATCATGCAGATGTAGAACAAGGCTAAATTCACTGTTAGATCCGATGTTCCTTCAATTTGGGAGGGAAGTTGTCTTTAGATGATGAAGATTGGGCACCAAATCCGGAAGCTGCATGTGTAACAATTTGATTCGTGCTATGTACACATAGGACCATTTGATGTAGATTAAAGAGTTTGACTGGATATAGTACCTTTTCTTCATAGCCGACAACACCATCTAGCACCTTATAAACAATAGCAGATACTGCTCAGCCGCTGAGGATAGGACACTGAACACTTGGGGGAATGCCCTCTAAGACGTGGGGGCTAAAGGAGATCAAGACATGGCTTTCGAAATGCACCTGTATTACTATCAGTTGCCGTTTCGGTTAGTCCCGCCGGACGTTAATTTTTGTGTGTGTGTGTGTGTGTGTGTGTGTGTGTGTGCATCACAGAGTACAGTACAGGATTCGTCTCTAAACACAAGATATGCTACGAGGAAACAAAGAAAGCCAAACGTCGAGGCTCCGTGACTCTAAAGCCTCACCTAATCTTCTGCGTTGGACTCACCCATTTCGGCCCTGTCCCCGCTACCTGCATCAAGACTTTGTCTCCCTTCTTGTGGTCGAGTAACTTGTTCTGAAGAGACGAAAAAGTCCTCAATCAGCTTCGAAACTGTCTCGACAATAAACACAACATCAGCTTGAGTTATATTGTACGGAGGTGCGATGATAATATGGTCGCCTTTCACACCCTCCGCCGTCCCGGAGCCTGGGTACACCGCGATGTTATACTTATGACTCAGTCCCATTTCGCAGATTCCCATTGCAACACACGCCTCAGGTGGAAATGGAGTAGACTGAGCCTTCTCCAAGACAAACTCAATCCCCCAAAAGAGGCCACGCCCACGAATATCTCCGACGTTCGGATGACCGCCGATCCGTTTGATTAACATGTCTGAGAGGAGCGTGCCCATATTCTGAACGTTTTTGAGCAAGCCATCCACGTGAATGATATGCTGAACTTCGAAAGCTGCGGCACAGGCAACAGGGTGTCCTTGATAAGTATGTCCGTGGACGAAAGATCTGTACTAGGATTAGAAGGTAGCAGAATTTGCGGCTATGACCACGAAGAGCTATGGATGCTTTATGGGCTTACCTAGTTCCTCCTGTGAGAACATCAATAATTTGATGACTTGCCAGAACACCTGCTATCGGCTGGTATCCTCCACCAAGACATTTACCTATTGTCTGGATATCGGGTACAACCCCTTCCTGTTCCCAAGCATGAACGGTGCCTGTACGACCCATACCGCACATCACCTCATCCAGGATGAGAAGCGCACCATAACGCTGGCAAACTGCTTGGACAGCCTGAAAATATCCAGGCAGCGCAGGGACACACCCTAGAGCCTGGCGTAAGAGGTCATTAGTCTATGATCATACTAAGCGTGGACACAAGCACCCACTGCTCCGACAATCGGCTCAGCAACGAAGGCGCAGACAGTTTCAGGGCCAAGCCTCTGGAATTCCGCGTCAAGTTCATTCGCGAGACGCGTCACATACTCGTCGTCTGACTCCGTGTGTTTCTGGTTTCGGTACGCAAAGCAAGGCGACACGTTGGTGACGTTGTCTAGCAGCATCGGCTCGAACTTCTCTCTGCGGGACTTATGGCCTCCCATAGACAATGAGCCAAGGGTTGTTCCATGATAAGACTGTTTCCGTGAGATGAAACGTGTTCGATAAGGTTCTGAAGGACATTTCTCAAGAAAGAATTGCCTAGCTAGCTTGATAGCAGCCTCCATAGCCTCAGATCCTGACTCCTGTCAACTTTATGCCATCAAACCTACGGAGATAACAGACCAGAGCTGACGAGGTATGCCCTAGCCATGTGTCCCTTTGTTGATTTGATCAGGAGCTGGCAGAGCTCCTCGTAGATCACAGTCGTGAAAAAGAGAGTGGAACAATAGGCGGCCTCACGCATCTGTTTGGTCATTGCTTCAATAACTCTAACGTCGCCATGTCCGATACACACAACCGCTGCTCCCCCAGAAGCGTCAAATATTATCTGTCCATTCTTGAGTGTCACATAGCTTCCGCTAGCACTAGAGACCGACAAGAAATTCTGGCATAGGTCTCGATGCAGGACTGCGGAGTTTTGGTTCTGTGAGGTCATCGCTCTGCTTCTACGGTCTGTAGGGTGTCGCACAGTCTCTGCATTCGCCTCCATAGGAGACTGTGCTCTGATCAAAGATATGGACTAGGATCTGCAACAGCCACTAGAGCTCTGAAGAATGGATTGCGGACCTAACCCTTGACCAAAAGACTTCGCAGCATAGGTGGAGGTCGTCACCAGCACTGTCGATTCATGAACACTAGAGAGACGTAGGAATTAGTGAATCATCAATTTCTCAGCTTGCGAATCATCCTCAGGTGCTACACGGACAGACATTCACTAGCATATACTACACTAACACCAACAGCTGATCTACTTTATCAGTTTCCAAGAATGTCAAGAGTTAAGCTTATATCGCCATGTCAGCTACACATAGGGCAGCCATGACAGTACTTTTGGGTGAGGGAAATTGTTACTGCAGATGTACTTCAGATTAGACCTTCCAGGTTGCTTAAGACTGACCCCGCTCTGACCAGAGTCGCCACAGCTGCTCCAATACTCGTAGACCTCCTCATTGGCTTGCCCATTCTTCGCCTCAGCTGTTTCCGTCCACTTTGCTGTACATATATGGGGTCTTTTGCTTGAGTCTATCCTTTGATTTACAAATTGTGCACAAACCTCCTGACTATGACGCTTTTGCTGGTTCAATCGTAGCTGCGACAAGTTCGGCACGGTGTTTCACGCCCTGTTACTTCGGCAGAGGCGCTGGATGCTTGCGGTGTGTTCAAACCCCCCGCAGCCGGAAGAACGCCTCTGACGCAACCTCTCTTTCCTCTACGATTCACTACCGGTATCAAAGGCAGATACTCTACTAAGGCTATCAGTCAATTAAAGATCAGAAGCTGAGAACATTTCTTGGCTGCTCCTTTCTGTCGGTGAGGACGTCTTCATACGGGCTTTGTCTTCACTGTGTGCCCTCCAGCTCGAGGGTAGGTACCCGGTAATGTCCTGTGCGCGATTAACCCTGTAGCAATCACCTTTAGTGTCCCAACGTTTGTCAGCCTGTTGACGGCAGACCAAGAATCCACAACTGCCGTGGAATGACACAGGCAGTGGTGAAGCCCGGTCGCGCGACCTCACATCCTGCAACAGTTGTAGACCTGTTTCGCAGCCTTGAACGGTGAGGGCTTTGGGAGATTCGGCGTTGTCGGTCTTGGAGATGGTCCGCCAGATCAACTTAAAGTTGTAAGATGCAATGGAGATCTTGTAGTTCTGCCCATAGAAAATAACGCCGTCTCCCGTGATGTTCTCACCGGTGCTCTCATCCTTATTTGGATCTTCAAGTGCCGCGAACGTGACCGATGAAATCCGCTTCGATCGGACGGATAAAAGGACGAGGTGTGTTGTAGGATTGATCTCGAAAGCGACGTGAACCGCAGATATGGGGTGTTTGCGGGTGCATTCGCGGAGAATGAGATCGGCATCTCGTCCGAGTCTGGTGATAACATGGCCTCGAGGCCTGGACGGGACATGATAGCCAACCTCAAGGCCAGCGCCGTATTTGGAGCTCGAGACGCGGTGTTTAGTATCGGGGTGAAGGAGGGCATCATGGGTGACCTGGTTAGTAGGCACGAGGTGGAAGAGTGTTTTTGGATGGGCTTCCCGAGCCATGGCGAGAGGCAAGTGGCGAGACGGATGAGGACGGTAAGAAGAGGAGAAGGCTGTATTAGGAATGAAGAGCAGGTGTCCATCGTGAGGATGCTGCAGCTTGAGTACAGCTAGCCCCCTTTCTCTTTCTCAGGACTTTCACTGATGAAACCGCGCGGGGACAAAGGCAGCGGCTTAGCCAACCATCCCAGCCCTACCCGTTAGCAGTGATGCAGATTTAGGCTGCGTCCTCAAATTCATTGGCTGTGCGCCAGCTGGGGCAGGCGCTGGGCTAGTGAGAGGGGGCCCCACTACGCCGGCGTCTGGGAGTAACCTTAACCTTACGGGCCCAACCTTAATACGGGTTGAACCTTAACCTTAATCTACTAAGCAGGATTCGTGCAGTCGGATCGGCCAGAAAGAGCTTCTTCTCTCCCCACACCTCCCATCGTCGATCTCCCTTCCCCACCCTCAACATCTTCACCTCTAACGTTCCTCCCAATTCAGCCCTCCTCTCGCTAGCATCGTCCAAGCCATGCCTCCATTTTTCGATCGCGTCCAGCTTCACGATGCCCTGCAAAACCAAGCCATCCCCGTCCTCGACGCACTTGTCACAAACGACAACCGTTCGTTCAGACGCATTGAGCGCGACGATCCTCCGTCCTACGCATCGTCGACTGAGTCGGAAGAGCTCAACGATGATTTCCTTGCGCCACCACCACGACCACCACGCGGCGAGCTACCAGAAGAGCTGAAAGCCATCATGGAGCAACCGATCAACGGCGATGAAATGAAGCATTATGCATTCGACATGGGATCTATCCAGACCGCGTCGATTTATATCACACAGAAGCGAAGAGAGAGGAAAGCCGGGTAGAAGAATACCGCTCAAACAAGATATTTCGAGGAGTGGAGGGCTCTCGGCGATGTGGTGTCCTCGTTCGTCACAATGTCAAGCGCCGCTGGGAGAAGCTCGGTATCTGGAATCCTGAGTGGCGGTTTGCCGGGCGCATCTTGCACCCCAATGACAACGCTTATAGGTGGAAGTGGAGGTGGGAACAACAAACTGCCGATGATTCCGAGTCTGCTGGCTGCGCGGGGGATACACAGACGGAGCAGCTCGTTGCACGCGCCCTACGCCTACGCCAGCATCTGCGCCGTGGTGAGAATGCCCCCGTGCTCCCACGGTCTTGCCTCGAACAAGATGCGACTGCTTCCCAAGCCGAGTCATTCATCATCTCTAGGCCTTGGTTCATCTTTCGGATTGAATCAGCCGAAGAAAGGACGAGGTACGATCGGCAGGATTACTACCTCCTAGGCGTTCTATCGTCGAGAAGACACCATCAGAAGAGGAGCATGATGAAACCTTGTTAGAAGAGTATGAAGACTTGCCACAAGAGCTGGAACAGAACCCACCAGAGCCACAACGAGACTGCACCAGCCCTCCACCGCAGAAGCCACGGCGTCAGTGCCAACTGCAAGACAGGATGGACGGTGCCCAGGATCAGGACCGCTCCCCCCACCACTACCTCGACGCAGTGCCAGGATCGCAGGCATGACACGCCCCGAGGGGCCACTGCCTTCGCAGGCGGCGTCAAAGAAGAAACGCAGGGGCAGAGAAGCTGTGACAGTCTGTAGAGCGCGTACGAGCATGTAAATCGGTAATGGAAAGTTTATTGACCTATATAGATCATACAAAAGAGAATTGGGTGCTTGCACCCCTATATATATATAGGTACTGAATAGACCCCTGTCTGGGCTCGGGGAGCTTACCACTTACTTAGCGGGGCTCCCATTCTGTCACAGAAGCACTAAAGGCTGTAGCGCTTGCTACGCGCGAGACTCAGCGCAGGAAGACAAGGCCCGTCCCAGCGCGTCCCCCACCAAAGATCGAGATGGAGACTCGACCCAAGCGAGGACAGGGACGCCCAAGAACGGAGAGTGGCCCAAGCACGCATGCTGCCGTGACGAAGAAAGCAGCGAGGATACCCACTCTAGCCGAGCCAGGAGAGGGACTGCGGCAACGGGGCACACCAGCGGTGCCTCGGCGATGGGGGAGACGGAGGAAGAATGAATGATATAAATGGATAAAGGATTATTCTAGTACATCTGGTGCTGGAGACCAGGGCTATGATTATGGCTCATAATATCAAGATGGAGAGCCGGTGACCAGTTAGCAGCCCCGCCACTCCAAATAAATTCCATGCCGAGCTCTGAGTTTCGACTTTCAGGAATAATTCTGTCGCGATCAAGCAAAACATGTACTGACACCAAGACTCAAAATCTTGGAAATGGACACGAACGGGAGCCACAGCAATTTCCCGGGGCACGCCTCGGCCCACGCCTCGGCCCACGTAACGGGAATGGAGTACGGCTAATCTCTATAATCAGGTCGCGGCCGCGATTTTCTCGCCGCGGTCTACATTGTCGCAGTGCACGGCATCGGAGAAAGGATCGAGAATCCCTGGTTGTGTTACTGAAAAGGCCGCGCGGAGACACTCGAGAGACCCAATGGTGGCCGCTGGTAGACGCCGCGATCAAAGGCAGCAATCGCCCTTTCACAGGGACAGGCGGTCGAGGGGTCTCGAGGAAGGAGGGTTTCCAGGATGGATCCAGACAGACACGCAGTCGCGACTTGATGCGACAGGTGATCCCCCGATTGAGACGGGAAGCCCGAGTCAGGGGAAGGTGGAAGCCGCTTCTCGGGATCCAGCGAAGGAGGGGCTGCAGCTAGTGGGCTAAGTGGGGCAACCCCCCTGAAGCGAGATTTTAGCCGCGGGGGGGTAGAGATGCATATTTAGCATATGTTGAGCATATGCCCCCTAACCCACTATAACTACAGTGGCTTACAGTGGCTAAGGCCCCTAGAACTCTAGCATATGCTAAGCATATGCTGAGTATATATCTCAGCTATAGGGTTAGATAAGGTTAGGGTTAGTTAGTGTTAAGGTTAGTTTTAGAGGCTTAGAAGGTGCAGTAAGGGATCTTCCTCCTGTGTATACCATCACCTTTCATACTTTTGCCTTCAATACTACTACTACAATACTTCCCAACTTCTCTAAATCCTTACAACCTCTTCACCTCCTCACAAGCTCTGCACATCCTCGCAAGCTTTCAACCTCGCAGGTTCCATTCTTCTTATTATTCCCTTAACCTCTTACTTCAAGCTCCAGTTACATAGAGCAAGCAGGTTGTTTTACCTTCGACTTCTACCCTTCTTTATTGACACGATTGTTACAACCAGAGGGCTAGGCCGCCGCCAGGTACGACCCTACGGCAGGCAGCCAGGCAACCACCCTCGAGCAGCCATAGGTCACGTGTAGATAAGATAGCCATTACTAAGGTAGAGTAAGAGACTTACTCTATGACTATCATGACTATCACCACTAAACAGTGCTGGCCTCACCAGAAGGAAGTAATATATAAACTATATCGTTCGAACATCAACGCTTAGAACTTCTTTGACAATATGACTCTTATGGTTGATACCCTCTATAATCAACCCTATTATGTAAGGCTTCTTCTAGAGATAGGCGTGGATCTAGGAATCAGGGGAGAATTTGTCCGTCGAATGCGTCAAGGAAGTCTCTCATAACATAGTCACCGAGCCCAGAGGGTACACTATCCGAATCTTGGATTGCTAACGTCCGCAACCGCACTGAGAGCCTCAATTCTAGGATACGCTTGAGAAAACGATCCCAATTAGGGCAGAGCCGAAGGGAAAGTGATTCTAAAGTATCGAAATTTATCGCACGTGCCATCGCCGTTCCAAGAGGGACATGTGAAAGGGAGATGATGCGGATGTTTTGGAAGTAAGGCGGAGGGCTAGGGCTGTCCAAGTCAAGAATTTCGCGAGTGAAATAGCTTTGCTCCGGATACTCGCCGTCACCATTATCATCGCTGCCATAGTCAAGATTGCGCCGCAGACCTGACCAGTTTACAAAGTCTAATTCAAGTTTTTGTAGATGTGCTGAATTTAACCGCACGGCGTCAGATATGGCCTGCAGATTCTCAGAGTTAGGAGCTTTCCAGCACAGACTGTGAAGTTGACGAAATGATGACAGATCTATGTCGCAATCTTCTTCATAGTAGTGAGAACAAGTAGAGTCAGTGGTCAAACTTAGAGACTTCACCGAGTTCTGGTTGAGAGTAACGGTCCCACGGCTTCCAAGGATCGTAGAAGGGATGCAGCTGCCCAACTCCCAGCTATGCTTCAGCGTCAGAGCTTTTCCGGAGGAAGTATACATTCGGAGGAGAAGTACCTGAAACTGTCCAGTTGGTTCTTGCTGAATTTCTCAAGCACCAAAGACGCCCTATGGGAGACGCGAATAAATTGCGATTGATTTCTGTGACCACCTTCTTCCTCCTCATCTTCTTCACTCTCGGATTCAGTCCAGAATTCCACATTATCGTACTCATGCGGGCAGTGGTCCATAGTGTCTTCTGACCGGAAATGCAATTGTGTTGCAAGATCAAGGCAGACTTTTGGTATATCTGAAACACGTTTCCCATCTAGGAGACCCGTGATTGTGATAGACTGCCGGAGGTCTTTCTCAACAGCGCTACGCATGTGTCGAGAAACCAAGGAGAGAGCTTTGACGTCTTTCTTTGGCAGCTGACAGGATCCTGCTTAGCGCTCCATCTGCAGGAATTGAGACAGTTCACAAACCTCTTTAATCACCGCGGCAAGCAGCTCGCCTGGTAATCGGTGCAACATCATAAACTGCTATGGTAAAGAAAGTCACTCCTTACGAGATCGATCTGTGCCGCTCTCCACCGTCCGTCGTTGACTCCGAGAGGGATGACTCAAGAAATCCGAGGACTTTTGGGCATGGGGCATATTGCGAGCGGCAGAATCTGTCAAGTGCCATGTCAGACGTGCATCTAGGTGAGAAATGAAGACCTGCATGATTCTCACCTCTCTTACGGTGCCGTAAAGGACCTCGTGGGAATTGTCTCATCGAAAGCGACAATAGACGCACTCCACCCAGTCTCGGGGGTTGGTCCACCAGGCACGTGGTTAACTCGGCTATCTTCCAGAGAGCTAAGACGACTCGCCCTTCGGATTCTCAGTTTCCCCGACAGAACGGACATGGCTGCCTCAGGCATGATTTCAGCGTCTGGCAACAGAAAGAAAGATGGCGGAAGTTCGCACGGGCCGATATGAGTCCTGTACAGTACGATGAAGACATGGAAGTCGATTTGGCAAATGAGGAGCAATCTACCGATCCTGTGAATATGGACTCCGTTGAGCTGAAGCAGCGGAACAATGTGACTTCTCCCTGTCCGTGTCAATCTGGCATATCCTCCCAGACCCGAACAATGCTTGATCACACAGGTGGGCCCCTCTCGATGCTATCCGACCTGCTCCTTCACAGCATGAATATCGGGGCAAAATTGGAGAGCATTGAGCAGGAGGTGGAGGAGTCTCCACTGGGCAAGAAAAGCGCTCTCAAGGTGCGGTTCGGGAGAGGATGAGGCTGCTAGGCTGCTAGACTGTTGGCGCTACCACAGTCGCACACGAGTGCAGTTTTGTGTTGAGGCCTAAGTGTCCTACGTCTACCTTTCCTGTTTGATGTGGAGGAATCCCGCTGGCCGGGATGTCTCATCGACAGTCTTTACTGCACATTACGTTTTTTAAAGTCTTTTGATTTAGTTATGCCCGCAGCTTCAACCCTCCTGCTAAGTGGAAGGTTTGTCAGATAGGCTGTTATGTGTTTGCAGTCCTGCGCAAGGCGTGATGTCCAACAGGTCACGCTCACTAAGACGGCTTTTCGCCCTCCTGTGTGAAGTTCGCGAAGGCACGGAAGAAAGATCTTTGATCCCTTCGATCTCTGCAGATCTAGGACTCTAGTCCGCTACACCTCTCTACGTACTTGTCTCGAGTGAATTCTTCCATTGCGGCAAGCGTCCCTGAGCCTCAGCGAGCGTAATGCGGGCTATAGGTGTCGTCTTCCCGGGACTTAGAGTGATGCGGCTTGTCTGGTTCTCGTTCTGTTCTTATCTCCCGTCGACGGTTCGCCTGGACAGAAGCATCCAAACGAGAACTTGACGAGTGTGGCTTCTCAGCACTAGACTCTTCGATTGGATTGGTCTTATCAAATTGATAAATGGCTGCAGATCGTGTGCGAATGATAGGGCAAGTTTCATGAAATCCCGCATATCAGTTGGTTAGTAAATGTGCCGTGGTCGCTCATGATTCGACAGAAACTTGTGGATGGTAGGCCTCCTGCATAAGATGCTCCGTGGCCCTCCAAGGCAGCATATAAGATGTTTTGCACGACTGCCTTTTGTCTTTCAAGTCCCAGCTGCCTTATCCTGTTTTCATGGTGTGACGAGATTGAATTCAATAGACAGATTCCGTCATAGAACCACATCTTTTTGCATCTTCCCCCCGCCTTCGATATGTCACAGCCTCGCCGAGGACATTGGCGAGGCTCTGGGAGCCAGCACCGGAATAAGTTCCAGTCGAACGGCCCTCGTCGCTCCACGCAAGCTCAGCCACGGCGTCCTTGTCGGTATTTCCAGCAGCCCGGCTCGTGTAAGTTCGGGGCAAACTGCAAATATACCCACGACCAGACAAATGATGCCGAGAACAAGCATCCCCGTAACAACGACGATGCGGGCGGCTTTGAACGCTGCCCTGAGAAAGAGAGATATGACGACTGGAAGCACACTTTGAGAATGGTACCCCCGGGGGCTCGAATGGGCTGGCCAGGTATGCGAAACAGCACTACAATCCTGGCGCAGATCTGGTCAGGGGCCGTTGGTGTCCTCGGAGGGGAGAGCCGCGAATGGCCCCAGATGCTCGTCAAAGATCTGATGGACGACAAGTACTACGGTTGTGAATACTTCCGCTTGACACTGTCGCTGAGGTTGCAAAAAGACCGCGACCATGCACTGGGTATCATCGAGTCTTTCCTTCATGTCATCACGCACCAGGCAATAGTAGACTGCCTATCCATCGACACTTACGTTGGGACAATGTACAACTTTATCAGCGGCGTCAACGGCGAGCGAGCCATTCCCTTCTTTTCTGATCTATGTGCGGGCTTGGTGGAGCTTCACCGACAGGGTCCCGAGGACTGTGGCATATCGACAATAGACCGAACTCTTCGGACGCTGTTAATCGCCCTGGAAGAGCTCTTTCGGAGAGAGAAACGGGCGTGCTTCAACGAGGGCCTTCCTGAGATGTTTGGCAACATGGAGCAGATCTTTGTACTTATCGACACGACAACGACCATCTGTGCATATCATCCACTGGCAAGCAGGGACCGAATGCATCTTCTGCAACGGATAGCCGATCGGTCTTCGAACCTTTTGGCCACGCCAACCGACGATATCGAGGACAACCATGCAAGTAATGCTTTCAGGTTGGTCTACCCGGTCGACGCCGTCCCCGGAGGCCGGCACGATAACGATCACCTTGATATCACACGTATCAACATTCTGCCTACCGCCGGGGAGATCATGAGCAACGCCGAGGACTTCCTGCCCTCCACTGACTTCCGTCAGCCACACTTCCTCGACGACCCCGTCCAACGATATCTCGACACGCACTTTCGTCTCCTCCGTCACGACATATTCGGCCCGCTCAAGCAAGTCCTCAGCGGGGTAATGTTCTCTTTTGAAAATGGAACGCCACCTTCTCGACTGCCACGCGGAGATATGAGCGCACACCTATACCAGAAGGCAAAGATCGCGCACATCTCCGTGCATGACCGGCGTGGTTTTGAGGCTCATATAAGCTTTCATTCTCCTCTTCATCTACACCAGAAATCAAGTACCGAGCGCCAACGCTGGTGGGAACAGTCAAAGAGATTAGAGTCGGGAAGCCTGGTCTGCCTGGTGTGCTCGGCCGGCACCGATCGCGCGGTACCCCTGATTTTCATCGTCAGCGACAAGTGCACGAATTCATCCTCAAGAGAACATAGTCTCCTGTCTGGGTCGCGTCCTACGATAACCGTCAAGCTAGCAACACGGCTGCCCGGCGACTTGCAGTTGTTGGTCCAAGTCTACCACGAGAATCTCGAAGGCGTCTTAGTCGACCTTCCAGGCCTGCTTCCCGCAACCTTCATGCCCATCCTCCAAAATCTCCAGACGATGACCGATGTAGGCGAGCTGCCGTTCGGACAATGGATTATTCCCTGCCCCACGGGCAATATGCATGAGACTCCCGCTCAATCCGTCCCGCCGCTCTATGCACGTAGGCCTGGGTTTAGTTTCTGCTTAGACTCGATTGCCGACAAGAGAGGTCACTCCTTACTTGTGGATCCAATGGCATCTTCTACCGACGCATCGCTTATTGATGAGATGGAGGATCGGACAGGTCTTGACCGAGGGCAATGCGTCGCGTTGGTTGCAGCACTTACTCGTGAGTATGCATTGATACAGGGTCCCCCAGGAACAGGGAAGTCATACCTTGGCGTCAAGCTCATCCAGGTGTTGTTGGCCAGCAAAGAGGCGGCAAGCCTGGGGCCAATCGTTATCATGTAAGTAAAAGACGTAGATTCCAGGCGTTTTGATCCGTGTAACCGCTGAACCGTGCTGCAGCTGTTATACGAACCACGCTCTAGATCAATTCCTTACTCATCTAAAGGAGGTTGGGATCACGAGAATCATCCGCATCGGTGGGCAAAGCCGATCGCCAGAGCTTCAGGGCCACAACCTCAAGGTCGTCAGCGCCAGTTATCCCAAGACCAAGCATGAAGGTTACATCCTTGGGACCACCTACACAGCTCTGGAGGACAAAATGAAGGCATTAGGGAAAAGATTAGGAGCCCTCCACAAGTTCCGAAAGGGCTCTTTGTGGGAAGTTCTAGACCGTTTTCTTCAAAGGAGGCATCCCGAAATCCACCACCAGCTACTCGGGTATGATGCGGAGGGATTTACTACTGTTGGACAGGACCTTTTCACGGCGTGGATGGGGCGTCAGAAGGATCCAACTCCCGACGTGCCGGCTGGGATTTCACCCGAAGAATACTTGGACAGTCTACTGATGAAGGCTGAGGCTGATATATATTCCCTCGGGCCACCCGAACGCTGGATGGTAGCCGACCACTGGCTCCAACAAGCACAGGCGGAGCACACCGAGAGATTGCTTCAGGATATCACCGATGTAGAGGAGATCCGGGATAAGCTGAACACAGTCCACAACGAAGTCAATCGCCGAGCTTTGTTGACGACGGACATCATTGGCATAACCACCACAGGACTTGCCAGGGACGTCTCGACGCTCCGTCGTCTTCGTGCAAAAGTTGTCGTTTGTGAGGAGGCGGCAGAAGTCCTAGAGGCTCACACCATATCTGCTCTAATGCCAGGTGTTGAGCATTTCATCCAGATCGGCGATCATCAACAGCTACGACCACAGATAAACAACTACTCCTTGAGTCTGGAAACACCCAGAGGTCTGCCGTACCAGCTCGACAGGAGCCAGTTTGAGAGGCTTGCTCTTGGTCAGCCTGGACTGCCGCCCATACCCATTGCCCAGCTGAATGTGCAGCGACGCATGCGTCCAGAGATATCACGCCTAATCAGAAACACCATGTATCCGAACCTTGAGGACTACAAGTCTGTTAGAGATCTCCCAAATGTGGTGGGTATACGCGAGAACGTATTCTGGTTAAATCACGAGAACATGGAGGACACGACAAGTGATGACGGACGGCTGAGATCCCATAGCAATGCCTGGGAGGTCAGCATGACTAAGGCCCTTGTTAGGCACTTCATTCGACAAGGCGAATACAAGAGCACAGACATCGCAATCCTCACTCCTTACACGGGACAACTCCAGAAGCTAAGAGTAGCGTTGAGCCAGGACTTCGAAATCGTCATGAGTGAACGAGACGAAGAGACTCTCGCACGAGATGGGTTTGCGGAAGAAGTGGCCGAGGAAAGGGAAGAGCCAAAGCAGAGACCCCTACAGAGAAAGCAGCTCATTGAGTCGCTGCGCTTGGCTACCGTTGACAACTTCCAGGGCGAGGAGGCGAAGGTCATCATCGTGTCTCTTGTCCGAAGCAACGAACAGAAGAGAGCAGGGTTCCTAAGAACAAAGAACCGCATCAACGTGCTCCTCAGCCGCGCCCAGTACGGGATGTACCTCATCGGCAACGTCACCACCTACGCGAACATCCCCATGTGGGTCGACGTCTATCGCCAGCTAGAGGAGGCCGGGGCTGTTGGCAGAGCATTCAATCTGTGCTGTCCTCGCCATGCTGATCAGTTGATCCAGTGTGCAGAGCCGGATGACTTCCTCCGCTACAGCCCCGAAGGCGGCTGTGCCCTTCCGTGCGATCGGCGGCTGGAACTCTGCGGCCACCGATGCCAGGCCAAATGCCACTCAGACGGGGTGCATGCAGCCTGGCTGTGTCCACAGGCCTGCCCGCGCGTCCGAGGAACCTGCGATCACGCGTGCCCGAAGATGTGTGGCGAAGAGTGTGGGCCATGCTTGGTTTTCGTCGATAAGTTCCGACTCCCTTGTGGGCATCAGAAGAATCGGGTTCTATGCCATCAGCTCCAGAAGCCTGCTGATATCCAATGCGATGTCCTCGTCGACAAGACGGTTCCGGGCTGCAAGCATGTTGTGAATCTGCTATGCCCTGAAGACGTAGCTTCAAATGATTTCCGCTGCCCCACGCGCTGTACACAACTGTTGGAGTGTGGCCATCCCTGTCCTGGCTCTTGTGGTTCTTGTCAAGAGACAAACGAGACCGGGGATACTATCATCAAGCATCAGCGGTGCGAAAAGCTCTGTGGTCGGCCGAGCAACATCTGTGACCACGTCTGCAACCAGCGTTGCCATGCCGGAGAACCGTGTGGGCCATGTCAGAAGCTCTGCGAGGTAAGAGTCTCTGCTCTTGCGTTGACCAACTCAATCTGACCAACAACGTGATTACTGATACTATTCTAGGTGCGCTGTGCCCATTCGCGTTGCGCCATGTTCTGCCGCGATGCGTGCCCGCCGTGCATAGAGAGATGTAGCTGGAGCTGCAGCCACCAAGGGTCGTGCTCCATGCCATGCGCTGCGCCTTGCAATCGACTTCCATGCAACAAGAGGTGCCAGTCAACACTGAGCTGCGGCCACCGATGCCCCGGGATCTGTGGCGAGTCGTGCCCAGAAGGATACTGCCAGGCTTGTGGAGAGAAGCCCGAAGGTCGCGTCGATCTTTTGGAGTTCAAGTGTTATGGCGAAATTGACCTTGACAAGACGCCAATTGTTGTCCTTGGTTGTGGTCACTTCTTCACTGCCGAATCTCTAGACGGGCTCGTGGGGATAAGCGAGGTGTATACGTCAGACCACAAAGGAGACTTCATCGGGCTGAAGAGCTCTTCTAGAATCTTGCCTGTGCCTCGTTGTCCAGACTGTAAGCGGCCAATCAGGCAATTTGCTACCCAGAGATACAACCGAGCCATCAACATGGCCGTGATAGATGAGATTTCGAAGAAATTCGTTGTTAAAGGCCTGGCCGAGCTGGCGGATTTAGAACACCGCATTGATGAACTGGAAAGTTCCTTCCAATCAAGTCGGGAGGCACACAACCGGCTCATAGACGCCTTCCTAGGCCTAGAAGAAACGAAAGACCACAGAATCGAGTGCAGGAGATTGGAAAGACGGATCACAAAATTCTGCGAAGAGACAAGAGCCGAGCAGCAGCCGTCAAAGAGATTATTCGATGCCATCTTGCATGCCAGGAACGAACAGCCGCTGGATTCGCGCCTGGCAGATCTCAGCCTGTCTGATCTCACAGCACCGGCCCTCAACAAGCAGGTCATTCTCAGTGGTCGGCTGGCGCGGCTTAAAGTCCAGAACATAATGCTCCAAGACATGTTCGTCTCACATAGTGAACTGAGTGAACTCTGCGAAAACGCTTTCTCGCCTTCCATCATCAAAAAGTCTAAGCTATTTCTCAAAGACTGCAAGGCACTCATTGTAGACAGCTCTACCCATGCCCTTCCACGCATCGCGATCCAGGGTAGCCTCGCATATGCACAGATCACGAAGTACCTACAGCGTTCGAAGGCCTATCGAGAAAGCAGTCCCGAGGGAGTGAGAGAATACGTCGAAACGGCGAGGAAGCTTCTTGACGACGCGGAAAATATGTGTAGAGTGGGATTCGACGGCGCAGAACAGGTTCTCAAAGACATTCAAGATGCGCAGCGTCTACTCGGACGGGAGTGGTACGAGGCGGTCACTGCAGAGGAGATTGCCGCCATCAAGATTGCCATGGTTAGTGGGAGTAGTGGCATTGCCACCCATTCAGGACATTGGTACAAATGCTTGAACGGGCATACGGTATGTAGATGTCTCTCTGTCGTGTCCATAGCCAAACCTCGGCTCGAGCTAACATTTCCAGTTCGCAATTGGCGAATGCGGCATGCCAATGGAACTTGCGCGTTGTCCTGAGTGCAGAGCCGTGATAGGCGGCCAGAACCATGACATGGTGGACGGTGTGAGTCGCGCGACGGATATGGAATTGTAGGTTCGGTTTGGGGCGGGTTTGGGGACGCTGGGAGATTTGTGCTCGGGGCTAGTTTGGTAGCCGCAGGTGGAGGGCAATGCAGCCGTTCCTTTAGCCAGTCGAGCTCCTTTTATGTAGGCAGCAATCTACTAGGCTTACAGAGCAATGTGTTCTAGCCATACTGGCCTGGTGTGTTACGATACATGAAATACTTGCACTTGCTATATAAAACAAGCGAGTGTGCTGCCACTACTTGTACCAATTTTGATCCAGAACGAATATCGAGTCGGAATCGATTCCTCCAACCTGTCCATCAAGCCTTCACGGGCGCCATTCTTCGACGTCGGTATTGGGTACCAAACTGCTGGCCAGATGCGCCGAGAGCTACGAACCAAAAGAGTAGGCTTCAGCGCATACCCACTAAACGACCGCCACTGGCACAGACAGTCACCAAATTACTCATCCCTAACAGGTTCGAACGCGTCGGCTCGGCCGTGTCGAATCCTCACATCGAAATCCAGGAAAGCGTTTGGTGTGGACCCGCCCGTCTATGCCTAGATAGAATCCAGGGTCATTCCCGGAGGTGTGAATCTTTCCACTCTTCCCCCAACTGAATGAATACCTGAGCAATCATCTTTATCTCCTTTACGTGTTTGATAGCCCATGTTACGGGCTGAATATACCTGGCTGATTGATCTGATGCAGCCCGATACCGAGATACTCTCGTGGCTCTCCCAAATCTCGGGCCCTCAGGTGTGCCTAGCGCAATCTCAATCAACGACTATTTCATCTTGTGAAGGTATGTCAAGGGTTATGCTTCCATCGAGGCCTGGAGTAGGAGAGCTACTCAAGTAGTTCTCCGATGAGCTTGGCGAATTCAAGATCGGCCGTTGAAATGCTGATGGCAAGCTAAGAGAGATAGCTAGGTGTTAGCACGGTGTTATGCCATCTGGCTTCCTGTCGTGGAGGGTTTAAACCTCGGCGAGCCGTACTGACCGCAGTGACGCTTTTTACCACACCAAAGACAGTCGCGGTGGTAGGTTCGAGACTTGTCAGTGGAGCCGCTAGGTCCAGCGCAAGTTTGAACCTCTCCAGCGGTATCTGAAGAGAGCGGAGATATCTCAGACCCCTCAGAAAGAGGGACAACTGAGAAGCTTCTTTGTCGATGTCTTCTAGCTGTGCGAACAGCTGCCTGATCGTCTCTCCCTTGAGACTAGTAGAGTTTATGTCATCTCCGAGACATTTCGCGGCCTCGCGGTAAGCCGCGCTCCAGAGGTCTTCGGGAAGGACATCCGGCGAGTCATGGGTGGCGTCATCTTGATCAAGGCCGGCCCCGGGGGCCACCGAAATATCAGTACTCTCATTAATTTGGGGTTGAGCCACGGCCACCACATCCTCGCCTGCCGTGGTCGATTGACTGGGGCCATTACGTGCTTCAATGGTCAAATCTGTGACAGAGGTGGCCGAGCCTCCTGCTGGGAATCACTGGCAGAACTTCCCAGCCTAGCCGTCGTTTGGATTCTTCCAATTCGGGAGCAAGCGGTTCGCCGTAGACTCGAATAATGAAATCATCTAGGGACGAAATGGCCTCCCGCCGTGCATCGATCTGTATCAACGCCTCTCGAACAAGCTGCGCACTCGCCGTATCCTGGCTTGCCTTGTATAGATCCGCAGCATTTTGGCCATACAAGCGCATCTCCAGCGTCTTCAGGCTCGTGCATTCCTCCTGAAGAAGCTGCATACTCTGCAAATCGTCCTGCCTAAGGGTGAACTCGCCTCCTCCATGTTTTCCCACAGATCCCAAGCCGCTCATGACCGGGAAATTGATGCTGATGTGGCGCAGATGACCCGCGTTTACCGGTCCGATATGGCGGAGAAAAGAGCTCAAGAGGCTCGCCTGGTGCTGTGCCGTATCCATGAAGCTGAAATGGTTCGCACCATAGAGTATTTCCCTGGCCTCGTCGCATACCTTGTGGCTGACGTGGAGCAGCGCGTGCCAGCGCCTTGGCCTATCTGGCGCGAAACTCTCCACCACCGAAGAACCTGTCTCTTGGAAAACGAAGATCGGATGCCCCACGACGAGCACTCTTCGGTAGATGTCGTCACGGACTGCGCGAGGCAAGCTGAGAATGTCGACGACGGGGGCCGTGTCTCCGGGCGGTGGATCCATGGTAGCCTGATACGGTGGCGAACCGGGCGACAACCCTATCGGCATTTTCTTGTCAGTCATAGATTGGTTGGGAGGACCTGGTGGGTACTATTCACGGGCTGGAGATGCGCTAACCCGTGCCGCTCGACAAGTCAGGTTCGTCGACGATTGCGGGAATGCGCACAGCTGCTAGTGGTAACCAGACAGGACGGTCAACGCCTAAGCCGATCGCTGGGTATTTCCTGGTTGTGGCGGCGGCGAAGTTGGGTTGTCTAACGCAAGTTATATGTGACTGCGATTGTTCCGTGACCAGAAAGGAGCTGGGTTCAATGTGGAGAGTAGAGGAGGGACAGAGATGTTGAAATAAAGTGATGCGACCCGATTTGCGATGACGAAAGGTTCGTGATTTTGATTCCTCCAAGGACTAAACGACTACCTTTATCGACCCTTCTCCGTCTTATCGGTAGATTACCTCTGATTGGCCTGTTGCTCCTCGTCCTGCCTTAAGGTTTTCTATGGTCCGATCTATGGCTTTTTACTAATCGAACATATATATAGGCCTGTTCACCGGGATTCACCTAAGTAGGGCCTAAGGCTTTAGGCCCCGACACCCAGACGTGCATAATACAACGCCGTAACTAAATACCGGCTGTGGGCTTACACCGTCGTCCAAGCACTGGTCTCTCGCTAATCTCTCGCTAATCTCTCGCTAATCTACCGCTAATCTACCACAACTAGTCTACTCTGCGGCCGATCCCTCTCCACGGAGCTCTCACTCCTTTTTTAATCGACGAGACACGCTGGTGTGTTTCCACACTGAGAACTATAGAGAACTACACATCGAGAGCTACACTCAGAATTACCGGTAGTGCTAGACTAGTTCGTTTCCACATTCAACTTTTCACATATCGAAGTTTACACGGAGCTTCCCCCACACGGAGACAATCGCATTGGCCATGTGATATGTCAACGTGCGCTCCTTCTTTTCCTCTTTCTCCCCATAGCCGCAGTCTGTAACTGATTTGATCGGCGCTGGACGCAAAAGGTTAGCTGAAGTCAAGGTTGTGGCCTGAAGGTGGCTCTCCCTATTTCACAGCACCTAGAGTGTTTAGCGGCGTAAGTAACTGAGAGCATCTACAGTTTTAGGAATCACGACAAGCAGGCACTGCTGATTTCAGAAATAGAAGTCAGAGGGCATCGCCGTTGCTAGACTTCATCGTCCGGGTTGCAGGGGTGGGTCGTCGGGCCTTAAGCTTTCTCCATGTTGCCAAAAAGGTATGTTGGAGGTAACCATCTTGCGAGGGGTATGAGAGTCATGATGGTAGTGGCCGAGAGGTTGTATCACCGATACGTAGCATCAAGAAGGTCAACAAAGAGCTGCCTTTGGTAACAGCAGTTTGAGAGTCAGAAGATAGGAGGTAAAACCATTCTATAGGTAATATCAGGTCCTGGATTAAGAAAGGCAGATTTTACGAGCTTGGAAAATGCGTGCGCGCATGATAAACGAGTATAGTGATGCCTTGATGGGCTGTACAAGCATGAGCATGGTCTAATCTATTTCAGGCAGCACGATGAATGTCTCTCCGAAGTATAAGAACTCGCAAAATAAAGATTTAGAGCCAGTAGCGCCAACCGGATTTGCCATTGTGACCCATACACGTGGCTCGCTCGCCCAAGTAGGTAATCAATGTAATCAATTCCAAATCACGGAGAGATGACGGCGGAGTCACCATAGAGTATGGGTATGCTTGCTTTAGTGTACTATATGGCACAAAGAACCTAGTTTACGGTGTATGACGTCCCTCTATGCACTACCGCCAAGATCTACGAATAAGCGTCCGCCTTCTCCCGGAGCAAGCGTAATCCCGTGCCCTCGGAAATACAGACAGCGCCTCACTACCAAGGGATCTCACTGCCATCGATAACATTCAGGAACTTCCCCGATGTAGTTTCCCTGGTGGCCTTGTCGATCTTTTGCCCCATGTTAGCTCGGTGAGTCACGATACGCACGGGAGAAGACATGAACTCACGACATCGATGATCTTGCCGGCGGACTCTTCGACAGTGTTCGGGGCCTTCTCCAGTCCCATGCTACGCGCACCCACGTTGCCCATCTCTGTTTGGACAAGACTACTCGCTGCATCAGCATTCGGTGCCCTTTTCCCCTTCAGGACGGAGAGCAAAGCTTACCCAGGATGAATCGCGAAAGCAGTGATGTTCTTGTTTCCGGCATGCACCGCACTATACGAATCACACAGTCAGTCAAGCCCGTCCAGAAAACCCCTCGGAAAGCCCCGACATTACACATACACGGTGAACCAGTTCTGCGCCGCTTTGGTCAATCCATACGCCGCGCAGACCCACGCCTGAAACGGCTCCAGGGCTGAGATGGTCGCAGCAGCTGTCGAGACAGACACCCACTTTGGCGACTTGCTCTTCTCCAGCAGTGGCTTGACGGCTTGGTAGAGAATCAGCGGGCCCACGGCGTTGATGTCAAACGACTTCTTCACGTCCTCGATCTGCGCATTGTCGGCGATCTCGATGGGCGGCGACCAGCCGGCACTGGCAATCACGATGTCGAAGTGGTCGACGCCTTCCGCTTGGACCTCCTCGACAGCCTTGGCAGGGTCGGTCAGAGAGGTGCTCTCGATGCTGACTAGGATGAGCTTGGAGCCAGAGGCGGCAGGCAGCCCTTTCAACTCCGAAGTGGAGGGTTGCGTCTTATCGCGCACGCTGCCGACCACAATATGATCGGGGCGCGACAGGTAGGCTTCTACCAGTCCCTTGCCGATACCTGGGAGAGAAGGGGGACGTGTCAGCAGTATCCCCATTGGTGCCAAGTGGGGGCTGCAGCATGTGGCTTTGGATCTGTTTCCCTTAACTTGCCTCGGTTGACACCTGTGATGAAGACAACGGTTGCCATGGTCGTCAGATAGCTGCGTGATGATAGATGGGGAGAGGAGTCAAATTTTGGGAATAAGGTAAGGAAAATAAATCAAAGGCGTCGACTGAAACTGCTCTGTAATGGCAAGAACTGCGAATGTTTGCTGGAACGTGAATGCTGTGTGTTTGCAGGGGATATAGCTAGGATGTCATTCCCTTTATCGATTGCACATCGCGCGCGGGATGAAGAGTGGGGCGGCGGGCGCTAAAATATGCATAACTTCCGATCGGCAAGCAAAAGGGGTTACGTGATCCTCAGAGGACTCCCTAAACGGTATGATACGGCTTTGTACTGTACATGCATAGTAAGCATGCGCGGGCTGTTGCCTCACTTTAGCTGGGCTGAGGCCAAGCCAATCGATCATGTAGAATGGCCTTGTTTTGACCCACTTGTATACCGTTACATACATGATTCAGCCCCAATGCGATCACGCTATCAGGCACTCATATTTCGAACTTATACCACTATGCTACCCTGCCTTGTTTTGCCTATTCGTAGGACTCCGATCGTCTCATTCTCACCGGGCGCTCACTTTCCTAATCACGCCATAGTTCTAATCGGGCCTGCGCATGTATGTAAGCTGCGCAGAAGCCCGGGCCCTTTGACCTAGCTTCATACAAGGATCACTCTGTAGGCAGCATAATCAACATACGTCGTGCCTCTGGGTCTTGGCTCCAAGCTCCAAGTATTTCCGCTCTCTAGTTGATGCGACGAACCACGTAAATATGAGTTGACCTGAAGTGAGGTATCTATAGCATTGTGTAGTTTGTCCAAGCCATTACTCCAGTATTGTAAAAAAAGAGTTTTCTCCAAGTTTCACCCGACAAAGACAATCCCTCCCGGATCACGATGGGCGGCCTTGTTGACAGAACCCACATCCATGGGTTCCGTGACCTTAACTTCACTGCCATAGTCGTAACCTTCTCCTTTGTATACATCCTATATGGCGTCGTCCTCGTCGTCTACCGCCTCTATTTCCACGCCCTCACTAGGTTCCCGGGGCCCAAGCTCGCTGCCGCCACGCACTGGTACGAGGCCTACCATGACCTCTTCGCCAAAGGCGGCGGAGGCCAGTTTACCTGGGAGGTGAAACGCATGCACCAAAAGTACGGCCCCATCGTGCGCATCAACCCGGACGAGCTGCACATTGATGACTACGAGTTCTACGAAACTCTCTACATCAACGATCGGCCCTCCCAGCCGATAGACAAGTCCGACAAGTTCCGGTATCGTTTCCGCCTTCCCGATGCCACTTTCAGCACGCCCGGTTCCGAGCAGCACCGCGAGCGCCGCGCCGCGCTGGCCCCCAGCTTTGCGAGGCATAGGATCCAGAAGCTGAACAGCAAGGCGAACGAGGTGATGGAGCTCATCTCGCACCGTCTGGCTACCGAGTTTGCCGGGACCGGCTGCGTCGTCAACT